TTTTTTCCTAAATAAGTCTTACACACTAGTATATACTAAAACTTGTAGCTATTTTGTCTGGGAAATGGTCCTTGAAGCTTTTTGTTGATAGCCACAGACAAAATGTACAAGAGAGAATTCTAACAGATCTGCAGCTGTGTACCATTATCACTCTAGTTTCCATAGAAACGGGCATCAGATCAGCAAAAAAAAAAAGTAATTGAAAGTTTCAAAATGGTGATTATTTTAAATCGCTCTTTTTCATAGAAATAGTGGCTAGCAGCAGAATTTTTAGAACTCTTTTTTTCATCTGTAGCTGCAGGATGAGTGAGTGAGGAACAGCATCTACAGACACGGAAGTGCTAAAATTTATGGTAGACTAATTCTGAAAAAAAAAATCAATTTTACCTTTTCAGGGCTAATGACAATTCATTGGGGGGAGACAAAATGTTGGTAAAGTATTTCTAGCAAAAAATGATTATTTGCTACGATTGATTTTTTTTTTTTGTGGAACATATATATATTTTAAAATAGATACTTTCTTTTTATCGTTTTCTTAATAATAAAAATATGCTTTGAAAGTATGTTAATTGTTTTTATGATCTTGATGTTACACTGCAAGATTAAGGTACTATGTCAAAGTTGCTAAATTCCAAAGTCTTGCTTGTAGCTCACAGTTATTTTTATGGTACACATATCATGTCACTCTTCTTCTCTATGATCTATTATATATGCTGACTGATTAAAATGTGCTTGGTAGACTTTAAAATGGAATAAGGCATTAATGTGGAAAGGAGTCAGCAATTCATGATGTGAGCTGTTGAATTTAAATGAATTACAGACTGAAGTAGTTCAGCACATTAGTTCCTGAATTTAGTTTTGTAACCTAGAAACCTTCTCCACAATAGTCCCATCACCTTTTACATTACCAGTTGCTGATTGCTTTACAGCTGTTGTTACAGATAGCCAGGGAATACCAAGAAGCACACACGGGTAATTTATCTAAAATGGAACCCTAGATTTGTAAATGGGGAATTCTCCGTCCTCCACACAGGAGTTTCTGATTTTCACAACATAAAACGCAATGAGAGGAAAACGAAAAGCCAGTCAGACGGTGATACCTTCTTACAAAATGTGTTTCATACAAATGTAGTAATAGTGATAATCAGTAACATGCAAGCCTAGCATGATGGGCTTCTACCACCATTTAATATGAAATGTATGGAGTTGACTGTATTCTATTGCAGTGTATGGATAGTAAGAACTAAAGAGTACAAGTCAGATTAATATATCATATATGATCTAGGCAATACTGCATTATTTTCGCTATTGCTTCTACACATGGTACAACTTATTTTGGATCAGAATAAAAATTATAAAATTTGTGAACAAAATTGTGTCAATTTTACCATACACTGTGGAAGTAAAATCATATCTAGTGTAAAAGAGTGTCTGTCTATCTATCTATCTATCTATCTTCAGTGTAAAAATGAGTGAATCTACCGTATAGTTTTGTCAAGTATTTATGTGCGATCGAGAACAACCCATGTTGATATCAGAGACCAGAAGTTATCATGGATGATGAAGTTTTAAAAAGTACCAGAACTTTAACTGAATATGAACACTTTCAGGTAGCTTCTACAATATCTGATTCCAGGTGAAACTAGAAGTGATAAAGCCAAACCACACTTTGGGAGATGATCTCGGTATGTGCCACGACAGGAACATGACTAAAACATAAAACGTTGGAATTGTCATGTGCAAATCTCTGAAGCATATTGAAGGCATTCTATGCCTGAGAGTTCAGTTAATCATTGTGGCTACGGCTACACTACATGCTTTGCCAAAAGAGGTAATGCAAATGAAGCATGGATTAGCATTTTCTCGCACTTCATTTGCATACTTTCATTCCATTTTTGTGCAAGGGGTTTTTGCACAAAAAAGAACAGCGTGGACATTTCCTTTTTGTGCAATACCCCTTTTTGTACAAGATAATAATGCCTCTCCCACTCGGCAAAGCATGTAGTGTAGCTGTAGCCTTTGTGTAGTGCGCCATATGCTCTAACGCTCTCTGAATAGCTGGATGACCATTGCTTATGTATTTCTTTTGATGATCATTTACCACATCACATACCACTTGTGCTGAACTGTTCATTGATATGCTGTTTTTCTGTTTATACCTGCCCTGTTTTTTTGGTTGAGTAACATGATAGGGAGTTAGACTATTTAGCTAGATACTGTTCCTCATTGTTCCAGAGACTCTTCTGCATCCCTGGATATGCCACTTAACTTCCATATGCCCATTTAATTCTCTGTAATTGTATGTAGAGTTGTTCTAGCCAAGTTGAAAGCATGCCTCTCTCAACAACAGAAGATGGTTCAATATAAGAAATGACCTCACTCACCTTGCCTCTCTAATTATCTCTAAGACCTAGATAACATATGCTTCCCACAGGTTTAATGGTTGCAAAGTGTTTTGATATCCTTTAGAAGGTGCTATAAAATATAAAGAAGTATAAAAGTAGTATTTTTCCTTAGCTTGTATATTAAATAGTTAATTATTGACTAATGACTCATTGTAATTAATAGTAATTCTGCCCTGATTTCTTGGGCACAATTAATCCCCCAAGCAAATAATTTGCATACTACATTGAGACTATCACCATATTCACTGTTTTTAATGGAATGTTCCCTGTGCTATTCAGTGAATCCCTCCAAAGACAATATGTAACCTATATTGTGTGTCACTATATCCCATGTTCTTCATAGATGTTCTAATATGATTATAGCATAACCAGGGTATGTTTTGATTAAGATAAGACATGTGAGTTATCATTGGTGAAGTTATGGTTTACTGGATAGCATTATCCTATTTGTATGTGTCACGGAATAGACTCACCATCATGGCACCTTCAGCTGGTTGACTTGGGGAATTAGCTTGTTGTTTCGTTGGGCGCCTTCCTCCAGCTGGAATCTCCCCATGTTCCTCTTTAAGCATGGCGTCTTTTTCAGGACACTTCCCTCCAGCAGTGCCCACTCCAGTCTCTCTGCGCCCCCTTCTGGGGGGAGGGGCATTTACTCCACTGTATACTCCAGGGTCCTCCCTTCTCCCAGGGACCCCCAGTTCTTCTCCCAGGGAACACCCAGTTCCCCTGCACCTATCTTGCCTCAGGGACCCACTGCTAGTCTTCATCTAGCCCCTGCCTCCAGGGCAGACTGCAGTCTGTAAGGGCTACTCATCACTGGCAAAGGGGTGTGGACCTGTTGCCCTTCCCTACCATGGCTGCCTCTTGCAGCCCTGCCTACCATGGCTGCCTCTCGCAGTCCCAATAGCTTTAGGCCTTCCAGCCTGGGGGCTTAGTTGGGCAGAGCCTCCCCAGCCCTGCCTTCCTTCCCCAGCACTGCTCTACCTCCAGGAAGCCTCCTGCTTCCTTGGCAGTCAGGTCCCTACTGCTCTCCAGCCAGAGCAGCAGTCAGTTCTCCCTTCCCTCCAGGAGTCCCTCTTTATATAGTCCCCAGCTGGGCCCTCATTTGCAGAGCTGCCTCAACCGGGGCTTCACTATCAGCCTTCACTCAGGGCTGGGGTTCTGCCCTTAAAGGGCCAGTGCAGGGCAAACGCCCTGTCACAGTATGCATGTATCATTTTTGTATCCAAAGTTAGGAATATTAACTATACACCTGTACTACAAAGTATTTGCATTTGGGCAACATCCACCTGTTAAAATGTAGTCAGTCTGGCTGGCTAACTGGGAACATATCAAAGGATCATTAGGGAGAATGATTTGTCTTTGAAAATGCTAATCTCCCACCATCTTGGGATATGCTGCAAATAGCCTTTAATTCATGGCTGCTTGGGCACTGCAAGGTCATGTGATTAAGTCACCTGGTACTGGATTCCATGATGGATTACCAATATTTTTCCACCCAGCCAGGGAGAGGACAGGAGGAGGAGCCACACTGAAAAACAAATCGTTCGTGTGTGGAGAGAAGCAGTGAGACCAGGCTGGAAAACGTGTTGGGACTGTGAAAGTCTCAGAGGAGTAGCCATGTTAGTCTGTAACTTTAAAAACAATGAGTAGTCTGTGGTGCCTTAGGCTACGTCTAGACTGCAAGCCTCTTTCGAAAAAGAGCATATAGATTGCAACCAGTACTATCGAAAAAGCAAACCGCTTTTTCGAAAGAGTGCACCCAGGCAGTCTGGATGCTGTCTTTCAAAAAAGCACAGTTTGCATTATATAGCACCTTTTTTCAAAAGAGCACTTTTGAAAAAAGGCATTCTTTCTCATAAAACGAGGTTTTCCATCGTCCAAAAAAACTGCTGCATTCTTTCAATTTACCTTCGAAAGAATGCGGCAGTAGTCTAGACGCAGGGGAAGTTTTTTTGAAAAAACCTGTTGTCTAGACACACCCTTTGAGACTAACAAAAATATATATAGTATCATGAGCTTTCCTGGCAAAACCCACTTCCTCGGACAAGCTTGAATGGAGAAAAAAAGGGAGACCTTCAGAATATATAACAGAAAAAGAAGAGAGAATGGGAAAAAACAGCTTTCCTTACTTTCAATGTAACCGGGTGGCCTGATAGGGGCCTTGGAGTCCCCTCCAGTTCGAGGGCCACTACCCCGATCCTTCCCTGTCCCCGGCTTCTAATGCGCCGTCCCCACGGTCCACTACTGACAGTCTCTTTCTCACGTCCTCGCCACTCCCACCGGAGGCTTCTTCTGGTGCCCCGTCCACTGCACCGCTGCTCCGGGTCGCTGGCTGGTCCGGCACTGCCCCTACCGCAGGGCTTCCCGTCAGCCCTCTCCGGGCCGCCTCGGCTGCCCGCATCGGTCGCCTCCTCACCAGGTCCTCTCCGGGCTGGGTCCCCAGCTGGTCTCGCGGTCCGTCCTGTGGAGGAGGCTGAGAGCAGAATCTCCCCTGCTCTCCGCTTGCCTCCCCCCCGCCTGTCTCTCCCCACTTTTAAACTCCCTGCTCGGCGTTCCTCCTGCCCCCGCCCTTCCTGGGGTCGCCGCCGTCTCCCTGGGTCCTACATCCCCCCCGCTAGCCTCTCGCCTGTTGGGCGCATGTGCGCCCGCCATGTTGGTTTCCCCCGATCCTGCTGGCCGCCCTGCCACGCTGCGCCGGCTTCCCGGCGCCCACTGATCTTCCGCGCGGGGCCCGGGGTTGTGGATCCCGCGTCCGTTAGTGCGGGGGTGAGTCCCCCCGTCACATTCAATACCCCATTAACATCAAAAGCTAAGTGTGGGACATTTCCATCCCACTCAATTACCCTCATTAGCACCAGCGCTACTATTAGCATTTTTCCCACTCTCTCTTTTTCTCTGTTATAATTCTGAGGGTCCCCTTTTTTTCCAGGCAAGATCATCTGAGAAAGTGGGTTTTTTCCACAAAAACTCATGATACTCTGTTAATCTCTAAGGTGCCACAGGACTACTCATTGTTTTTGGCCTGTGAAAGAAATACCCAGACTTTTAAGATGCAAGCAAGAGCCAAGTACCTTCAAAAAGCTCTGAAATCTGCTTAAAACGACATTTAGGGTGAGAAATTACTGCTTATGACCAGTTTCTTTAATATCTAAGCTTATGTTGCATTTTGGTTTTATTTGCTGGGTAATCTATTCTGATCTGTTTGCTATCCCTTATAATCACTTCAAATCTGTATTTTGTAGTTAATAACCTTGTTTTTTGTTTTCTCTTGAACTAGCTGGGAGCCAAAAGCTGTGCATATTTTTCTCCACATTGAGGGAGGGAACAAATTTCACAAGCTTACACTATAGAGTTCTCTGTACAGTGCAAGACAGCACAATTTTGGTATGGCACTCCAGAAGGGATGTGCACTTGTATGCTGAGCAATTCCTTAACAGAAGCCTTCCCATGCAGTGCCGATTTCAGTGTCTGTGTTTTTGCCATGGGATGTATCCCTACCTATGTGTGTGCTGAACTGAGGCTTAGGGCCTGGCTCAGCAGGATAGTGTAAGGGAGCTCAGGCTGGTAGAATAGGCAGGTTCAGTGGTACCCCACTGTATCAGGTGGCACCCTGGAGGGAAGGGCACCCCATCACACACTGAGGTTATCCTTAAATGTTACCATTTTCTCTTATAAGAATACTTCATGTATAGTTAACTAGCAGATTTACTTGGTATTGCTTGAGCCCTTAACTCAATTCAGGGTTTTTTTAAAATAAAAGGAATATGTACATGCTTTGTTGAAATGATTGTACTGATCAAAGTTAGTGTTATTTTTATGAAGTTAATTTTTATTTCAGAGTTCTTAAAAAAGGGATTATCCACATATAAAATTTTCATTTTGTTTTTTAATATTTTTTTTAATGGAATTCCATCAAGCGCATTTTCTTTTTCATTCCTATAAAGCAGTGGTGGGCAATAAAATGGTGGCAGTTCACCACTCCTGAGACATTCACCTGTATCTCCACAGGTGCAGGAGATTGCAGTGCCCGTTAGCCAGGAACAGCAATCTGCAGCCAATGCGAGTAGGCAACCTGTGAACCCCTGTACCTGCAAAGGCTCAGGTAAATACAGTGTGTGGGGGCCCAGCGGGGCCTAACCGTGGCAGACTGGATGTGGACTATGGGCTAGTAGTTGCCTACTTCTGCTATAAACTCTTATCATTTGTTATACAGGCAGTCCCCGAGTTACGCGGATCCGACTTATGTCGGATCCGCAGTTACGAACGGGGTTTTTCTCGCCCCCGAGGACCGGAGCGGCGGGACGCCCAGATGCGCCACGGTCCCGCTGCCCGCGTCCTCCAGGGCGAGAAAAGCTGCTATCCAGCCAGAGCAGCAGTCAGAGACCAGGAAGACTTGGAGCAAAGCCGCGGAGCATGCGGGCGGCGGGACAGCCCAGACGCGCCGCGGCTGTCCCGCTGCCCGCGTGCTCCGCAGCTTTGCTCCCCATCTCCCTGGTCTGCTGGTCTCCAGCAGGTCTCTAGCAGGTATAAAGGGCTATAGTTAATTTGATTTCCGGTAACTTTTTTTCCCTAGTTTTCAAACCTTAAGCATTGATTTTGCTGTGACAAAACAGAGTGCTACTCTTAATTACTCGATTTTATCTCTTTTCAGTACTGTTTGAGAAGCAATCCTAATCCAGGTTCATCCTATTTTTGTGTCTCATCTTGGTTCAATTTCTTTCAACAGACACTCAGTTATGTCTATTTTGAGGACCATACTTGATCTGGTGAAACTTTGTCTTTTGTGTTTGGTTTAATGAGAAGCAGTTGCATTCCAGGCACATCCTGTTTTCCTGGCACAACCAAACCCTCACGTTGCTTTAAGTTATGATTAGAAGAAGCTGTATATTGAATTTGGTGCTCCTAGCTCTTTCTGTGTAAGAGAAGTTTTTGATCAGACAGACAAACTCTCTCTCTCTCTCTCTCTCTCTCTCTCTCTCTCTCTCTCTCTCGTAGATGTTATTTCTTTCTGGAACTATTATTTAGAGCTATGGGTATGGTTTTAAGAATTATTAGATGCAAACTGCTTATTTTATTGTACCAGCCTCACATTATTTTGAACACAGTTCCTTTACAAAAATTAAACCTAAACAATGGTATGCATAATATGAACAGTAGCTTAAACTATTCTGTTAGACTTTTCTGATCCAAGTCACCTATGGAAGTCCAAATAATTTATTTTAGAACAACAATCTTGCAGTCTTCTTTGTGACAGTTAACTACTGTGGACTTTGGATTTGTTCCTTGTCAAAACATCATTCTAAATAAATGGCTGCTATATATAGTACCATTTTGAGATGTGCTTATACCAATGGTGGGCGACCCTGTGGCCCGGAGACCACATGCAACCCGTTGGGGTTCCATGCGTGGCTTGCAAGACGTTTTGCAACACGTAGGGTTGCCAGATTCCACTGGTTTCCATCTGTGTAGTTTTTTTTCCTATTGGTATTACTAAAGTGATGCACACACAAAGCAAGGACACATGAAGTGAGGTGCATGCCTCTGGTTCAGTCAGTACACCTCACAAATTCTGCCTATTCTCAAGGCAAATTTGTAATGAGGATACAGATGAAAAGAGGGCCTCAGAGCAGGTAATTTGGATTCTTTTTCCTATACAATTATGAATTTATTGGCAAGGAATGACTTGGATGCACAATTAGGAAAATAATTAACAGATTGCTGCTGATGACCTCTTTAGTTCTGAATTGAAGGAAATGGCAAAACTATCTTAGCGGTAGTTCTCTAAATTGCAGATAGGGCCTGAGTAGGATCAGGAACTGAAGCTGACTTGTGAAATGTGACATTAAAAGCTGTTGAAAATCTACGTAAAAATGACTAACGTGTCTATCAGAGCAAATTGTATATGGCCAATATGAATGGCTACAAGACAATACTGTTCTGGTTTTACATTAATTTAATATTAAATGTGGTTACATTTTTTTTGACAGTCACTGTTTTCGTATTAAAATAGTCTCTCTCCAGTGATACCAGATAATTAACAGACATAGCCCTTGAGCTGTAATCTGAGTGAACTGAAAAAGACTGTACGCCTGAAATAGCTTAGCTTTTAAAATGTTGGCACAGGTTCTGAGCACTAGATTCTCTCCAAGAATAATCACATACAGTTACACTTTGTACAATACAGGTGTGGACAATCAGTATGCACTGGAACAGAGCTGGGTTTATTGTTAAAGTATGGGAGGATCAAACGGTACAGTAAAGACAGAAAAGGCCTGGGCAAATGCAAGGATTATTTATTTGATTATTGTTTTAAAAATGAATGCCTTCAGCAATAGCATTCAGCTTCAGTAATAATTAGGTCAAGTGTTCCAAATCTATTTTAAGGGGGAGGGATGTTCTTTGTTTGTTTTTGTATGAAAGCATTTTTGTCTTCCAAAGAGGTAATCAGTTAATGTTGTGGACAGTTCAGCAATTAATTGGGTACATCTTCAAAGTATTGAATCACTGAATGTCCACCCTTCTCAACAGTAGCTGTTTTATTCAAGTAGCAAAAAGCTTCTTGTTTTGGAAGCATATAAATGTACTTTATAATTAAAGTTGGCTAGAAGAATAGTGCAGTTACAGAAATCATAATGTGGCAGTAAAGATACTTTCGCTGCTTGGGGATTCCATGCTGCCATGGGTTTCTCAGCTATTTAAAAGCAGATGAGAAGGAAAAATAAGACTGATTCAAGATAAATGTAAAAGAGAGAGACTCCTGGAAATATTCATTTTCTGCTCCTCTTCTAGGTGACTCACCTGTGGGAGATGAGGTGTGTGTCAACCCTATAGATGACTGAATCATAGGTTTGGAAGAGACCTCAGTAAGTTGCGTCCAACTCCCTGCTAAAAGCAGGACCAACCCCAACTAAATCATCCCAGCCAGGGCTTTGTTAAGCTCGGACATAAAAACGTCTACAGAGAGAAATTCCACCACTTCCCTAGGTAACCCATTCCAGTGTTTCACCACCCTCCTAGTGAAATAGCTTTTTCCTAATATCCAACCTAGACCTCCACCACTGCAACTTGAGACCATTGCCCCTTGTTCTGCCATCCGTCACGACTGAGAACAGCTTCTTTTTGAAACCCCCTTTGAAGGCTGCTGTCTTAGAGGAAGTTTCCTAAATAGTAGCTAGGGCCTCAGTAGGATCATAGGGTATGTCTACACTACAGCACTAATTCGAACTAACTTAATTCGAATTAGTTAATTCGAACTAAGCTAATTCGAATTAGTGCATCTAGACTTAAAAACTAATTCGAATTAGCGTTTTGCTAATTTGAAATAGCATGTCCACATTGAGTGGACCCTGAACCGAAGTTAAGGCTGGCCAGAACCAGTGCCAGCAGGGCATCAGGTTAGGACTTAGAGTGTGGAGCTGCTGCCTCAGGCTAGCCGAGGGCTGTGCTTAAAGGGACCTGACCCCCACCCCGGACAGATAGTTCTCAGGGGTTCCCCGCTTGCTTGTCTACCTCGATGAGGGACAGCAAAGCAGTCCTGGCTTGGAGTGCCCTGAGTGCCCACACTCGGCACATCACAGCACTCGGCCATCAGCCCAGCTGCACTTGCCGCAGGCTGCCATCTGGGGGGATCAATCAGGGGGCTGTCAGGATCCAGGAGGCCCTGCAGGAGAGCTTCCACCACGAGGAACCCGCAGAGCCACCCCGGTCCTCCCCATCGGGGGCTCGTGCCACATTCCTCCCTCACCTCTTTCCAGTTACCCTTCCCTAGCCCCCCTTCCTGATGTAAAAAATAAAGGACACGTGTGTTTAAAAATAGAAACTCTCTTTATTTAACAAAACCGGGGGAGGGGGGGAGGAGGAAGAGAATGAAACTGTGGTGAGACTAGGGAAAGGAGGCAGTAGAGGGGAGGGGGAAACCTAGGAGGAGGGAGCTGGAAGGGAGGTCTGA